AAACTTTTTGGATTTCCAAACAAAGACCCGTCCCTTGTCTCTATCGTCTGCCTAAAGATTTTGCTGTGCACTCTAGGCTGAAGAAGCACTGGTAGCTCTCAAGCCATGTGCAAGTGAATTTCCAAGGAAAAGACAAAGTTAAATATTCTATTGAAATGAGGAGAGCAAGGATTTCAAGAATTTTTACCTCATTTTAACTTTTTAAATGCAGGTAGTATGTCAGGGGCTTCCTGAAGTCAGAGCAGAGGAGCTGGTCTCATTTAGGCTTGAAAGCACCCAAGTCACATTTTCTGCTGGTTAAAACGCTCTATAAAGTAGATGTGAGATGCTTCTTTACAGGTTTTTCCCCCCCTCAGTTGTCTACTTCTCATGCCATTTCTTATCCAATGCTTTATCAACTGTTTTTCTCTTTTGACTCTTTTCCCAGTAAGTTCAAAGCAGCCTTCATTCCCAAGCCTTCATTGCAGTTACCATGACTTTTGGCCTTGAAACTCGAGGCTTTTTAGCTTTCATAAAACACTTGACATTTTTATTCAGTGGATACAGTGACAGTGAGAACATCAACACATTGATGGGGCTTCAAAGGAGTGCTGTGGCACAATACAATGTCTGACTGCTTTTTGGAACACCTATCTTTATTCCAGGTGATTCTAGATTCTAAAACTACAAACAGCTCTTTCTCAGGATGTTGTTATTCCCTGGATTGATACACTCCACGGCTGCTTCCTCTGAATTTTAATGATGTGCTGTTTGTGAGTCTTTCAGTATCAGGGAGTTCAGCACTGTCCTGGCAGCTCATCCATCATAGATCTGTGGATTCACTGATCTCCCAGCTTATTTCAGCAAACAAACACGTTACTGCATCTTTCATGAAAGAGAAACACACCGAGCGCTCTCAACCCTGAGCAGAGTTCTTTCAATTCTGCCTTAAGTATCCCAGTTTAAAGTAAAACGTGTCCCGCTGGGATTGTTTGTTGGAGGTGAGTGGGATTACTTTGCACTGCTGGTGTTTCTGCCATCCTGGAAAACAGAAGTTTCTTTCCCAAAGTCCATGGAGCATTTGGTAAAGGATAAACTGTTCTGTTCTGGTTTTGACTTTTGCTGGATAAATGTGGATGTTGATGCCATGTGGGACTTTACACCACTCTGGTCACCCTAAATGTTCCTCAGTGCTGCAGGCTATGGCCCAGCATGGATCTGTGTGGGCACCAGTAACAATTCACCCCCACAGACCAGTCAGCAACAGAATAATCCACAATTATCATCCTTCATTAAAAAATCCTAGCAAACATTCTGGTGTTAATTCATGTGCTCCATGTCTGAGTCACAGCCTGGGCATTCCCGGTCTGGGGACACCCCCGAGGGTTTCCCAGCTGCAGGAGTGTGGATGACATCCATGGGCTGCTGAGTGGGATCCTGCAGGATCTGATTCACCGTCTGCAGACAATCCAGGAGGGAGGAAAGGGATCCTGCTGCCTCTGCTTTTCTGGCTCCTGCTGGCCTGAGAGTCCTTGAAGCACACTCAGATGTCCCCTAGGGAAGATCTTTTTTACTACTAAAATAAACAGATGGCCTGGTGGTTTCTGATATCGTAAGTATCCTTTCCTGTGAACTCATTCTATTATAAATAGTAGGTTCATGTCTATTCAAAGAGCTCTTTTATTCCCCTCTTGTCCTTTCATCCCACATCCTTGCTGGTTTCTGGGATCTCTTACACGTGTGAAGGACATCGCTTTCCCCGTGGTTACGTCAGCACATGGAGCTGCTCCTGATGGGATTTCAGGGCCATCATGTGAGTGGGATGTGCCTGCTCAGGGCTGTGGTGTGGCTCTGTGAAGAGCTCTTCTGACAGCTGTAGGCTGGAGGATATCCTGAGTTGCAGCTTTAGGCATGAACAGATCCATCAGGGCAAATACAGGGTTGGCTTCCAAGCTGATGTGACACAGAGGTACCAGAAACCATTCCTTGCAAAATCAATCCAGGCAAGGAACTTGCTGGAGGGCAGGGTTTTTGCTTCTGGGCAGCTGCTTAAAAGGAGGAAGAAATTAGGGATGGAGTGAGAATAATCCATGACCCTGCTCTCTTTAAACTCACACAATCACAGTTAAAAATCACCTGAGGCTCTGTTTTTTTCCAGAATTAGAGCACTATTAGAACCAGCTCATCTAGGAAGGACCATGGGTTTGTGACACCTGCAGAGAATCCTGCCTATGCATTTGAGGTCCTAAAAACCTTGCTGTCCTACCAGAGTGTGGATTCAGGATACAGCCTGTATGAGCTCCTGGATTTTGGCTCCAGGTTGGATGCAATGATTTGAGAGGTTTTTCCAACCTTGATGACTCTATGGTCCTAGAGAGGCATTTCCTGAGGCTGGAGTTACGCTGTGCTTTGAGGTGCACATCAGGTTTGGGAGATAAAGACAGACCCTGGCTGGTGGCACAGGGCAGTGACACTGCAGAGACCTTGCCCTGAGCTCAGGAGGAGGTTGCCAAGATAATCCATCATCATCACCCTTCCCCTTCCCCTTCCCCTTCCCCTTCCCCTTCCCCTTCCCTGCTGTACAAGTCAGTCCCTGTGTTTTCCTTGGGAAAGCTGTTTTCTATTTTACAGTAAAACAACACTTTCTGGTCAGGGCTCTGCTAAATTCTTTTTTTCTTCTGCAATTTCTGAAAACTTCTCTTGTGTGCTTTGCCATGACCTCTCTCTACTGAGTCACCTTATTCCCATCTCTCTCCAGACACATTTTTCCCTGGACTATTCTGCTTTCCAGCACATGTTTCCAGGCACCATTTTCTGCAGTTCAGGAGCCCTGATCTCTGCTCCCAGCCCACCCACTGACAAATGAGGCTGCCTTTGGGAGTGAGTACCTGCTGCCCTCATGGAGCAGCTTCCTTGCAGACAGTCCCTGGGGAGCATCCGTGATCCTCCCAAAATGCTGGGGGGAATATCAAATCCTCATGTTCTCTGTTAGGAAATAGCCTCCTACTAGAAGGAGAAATAAACACTTCTCTTACAGGCAATGTGTTCATTATTTGTGCCTTCTAGGGGTTCATTCTCCTGGTACTGCCCTTTGGGACACATAAATCATTAGTTTAACTTGATATGTCTATTTTCTTGTCTTCTATTTTCAGGGCAGTGAACATGCTGGCATTTATCCAGTCAGCCTCCCCACAGCAGTGCAGTTAGTTTGTTTCTGCTCTCTTGAATGCAGCATCTGTACATTTGGTCACATATTAGATTGTGGTAATGGTGAAATAATTCCTTTAACCTCGTCTGAGTCGGGACTCAGAAGAGCAGTCTGATTTATCTGCTTCATGGGTGGTACTTCAGGCAGTTAATTATCCCAAGTTATTTACCTTGACTGTCTCTTTGTGTTTGCCAATAAGACTTAATGATTCAAATTGAATTGGCCAGAGAAATGGAAGAATGTTCTCAGTGGTTTATTATCCTCTAATAGGACGTCCCAGGTTTGTACCTTCATAACAAATCATGTTCCAGTCCTAAATCTGATAATGCTGGCCATAGGATAGAGACTATAGCTGATGAGTTAGCACAAATAGTAAAGACGTGGTACTAAACTTGACAACTGCTCTTCTCTGACCACATGGAAGCAGCCAGGAATGGAGAATCCCTGTTTTTTAGCAGAAGGAACCAAAGCTGTGTGAGATGTCAGGAGTGCCCAGGTCATGCTCCCTTCCAGGCTCCGACACAGAAGCAGCAGCCTGAAAGGTGAAGATGTAATTCCCTGTCTCAGTGAAAATCATCCAAGTAAATCAGGCCTTCATTTGGTAAAATGGTGTGACTTTCTTCTCACATTTTAGCTTGTATCAGCCTTAGGGAAAGGAGCAGCTCTGTGAAAAAGCAGTGGCTGTTTCTTACAGTGAAGTGCCAAGAAAGTGCTTGGGAAGAGAATCTTTCTTACATGGTAATAAAGTGGAGATCTACTGATGTAATGGGAACTGAACTAAACTGGAACTCTGATCTGCAAGTATCAAAGTTTCCTTTAAAATCCAGCTTGTGAAAGACTGGTTCCCATGACCCTCAATCAAATTTAACCCTTCAGAAAAAAAAAGCTGGAGGAGGCAGATTTCTTCTTGCAAAAGCTGATTCTCTAAATCCAAGCTGCAAGGTGTCTGCTTCTGATTGTTTATCCTCAGGGTGGGGCTGCAAATAGTCCTGCCTTTAAAAATGTCCCTTGATCTTGTGCAGCTAAGGAGGCTTCATCCTTCTGACAAGTTTGCTTCACATCATTAGATACAACAACTTTGCCAGCACAGCTCTCAGAAGTTCCAGTGGTCAGTAAGGCTGCCTTAGTGGGGATAATGAAAAGGTCAAACTCCATTTCTTTTAATCCCCAAGACAGAACTTCTTAGAAACGAGTAGGAAATAGTCCATGTCATCAGAACAAAGAACAGCTGAAGTGGATGGGAGCTGCTGCATTGTCACCCAGGAAGGAGCACCCTTGGATTCATGGTTCAGACAGTGGCTGCTTGTGCAGCCCTGGCTGAGCAGTTTCTCAACACAAATAGCCTTTGCGACTATTATTATTATTATTATTATTATTATTATTATTATTATTATTATTATTATTATTATTATTATTATTATTATTATTATTATTATTATTATCTCTTGATTTGTTCAGCCTGGAGAAGAGACTGAGGGCAGAGCTCCCCAGGAGCTGGAGCTGGGCCAGGCCAGGCTCAGGCTGCAGATCAAGGCAAGGTTCTTCCCCCAGAGGCTGCTGGCACTGCCCAGGCTCCCCAGGGAATGGGCACGGCCCCGAGGCTGCCAGAGCTCCAGGGATGCCCAGGCTGGGATGTTGGGGGGTCTGGGCAGGTCTGGGAGCTGGGCTGGGTGATCCTGGGGGTCCCTCCCAGCTCAGGATATTCTGTGGCTCTTTAATTCTCTTCAATATTCAAGTTCCTCTCTGACAAGAGATCTCTGGGAAGAGAAATGTGGTAGTTTAGGGGTAGGTGGACCATCTTTTTCTGCTGTAATTCTGAGGTAAAATAACAGTTATTTATTCAAGATAACCACAAAGAGCAGTGAAGATGACTGTGGGAAGGAACAATTTTGCTGTACCAATGGCAGCAGTTCCCTGAGTGACTGGCACTGTTCCAGTTTGGCCAAAGAGCCAGAGCAGTGTTTGCCTGTGGACAGTGCAGCAAGAACCGCCTGGCTCCTGAGGAACCTTCCAAAAACCTCCTGTTGGAGTTGATATGTTGAGCATGGCCCCAAACCCAAGACATCTGTACAGCTGCTGAGTTCAGTGCTGCTGACTTCATTGCTTGGCACCCTGGTGGTGTCTGACTGCGTGGAGCTGTCTCCCAGGAGGAGCAAAGTGGGTGCCTCGGCTCCAGCTCCTTCCACCCAGGAGATGCCGTCTCTGCTGTCACTTGTGCTGTCTCAATCCCTCCTGAGTTCAAAAAGAGGGGAGAAATAAAGGCAGACAGAGCAGGAAAAGTTCCTTTTCAATTTAGGAACCAGCTGGGTACTGTGAATTCTACCAGGAGATCCAAATGAGATCCAAGAGAAGGGAATCATCACCCTGACATAAACAACTGGATATCCATTTGGAACGTGTCGCTTTAGCTGGGAGGGCTTTGGGATTGCTCTGCTCTCAGGGCTTGCCAAGGCCATGGGTGAAAGGACAGCCTGGGAAAAGGATTGTTTGAGTTTCCTTGCTAACAACATTTCAGAAATAATGGGCTGTGAGTGATGCAGAAGGTTTGACCAGGCCTGTAGATCATCCGTTGTTTGATGAGGAGTTCTTATGTGTACAAGGTCAAATTAACACAGAGCCAAATGTTGAAAAGCGCTGAATGTGACTTCAAAAAAATGGGTCGCTGAATGTGACTTCAAAAAAATGGGTAAATTAAACTTTCTTTTGAAGGCACTTGAAGTCTGGAGGGGGCTTGGGTCATAATAGCACAACTGGCCTGTGGCAGAACTGCTTACAAACTATCATGTGTTATCAGGTACTGCAGAATAAATTTTGGTGGAGTTTGTGGACAGCAAAAATCAGCTTTGAAAATGCAAAAAACCACCCCTCCCCCAAAATTTTTTAAAGTTTAAGTACTGTACTTCCCTATAGGTTTTATAATCCTCTTTTCTTGGCTTTGAAACACGTTAAATGAATCCAGCACAGCTCCTGACATCTGAACAAAACTGATTGACCTAACACAGTGGGGCTTTTCAGGCTACAAGTTCCAAAAATTAATTAGGATTTGTACTTTCCTTCCTAATTTTCAATAGGAAGAGCACGAAATTCATTTAATGTTTTGAATGAGCAGCAAGGAGAGATCAGGGCAGAAAGACCCAATTTCTCATTCATTTCTGGAAAGGGAAAAATAATCAGACAGGTCCTCTCCAGCAGCAAAGCTCATTGAGGAGAATTCAAATCTCGTGGTGCAGTTTGCTTTTAGAAAAGTGCTGAGGAAAGTGTGCACAGGGATAGGAAGGAGAATGCTGAAGTGATCCTGCCTAAAAAATAATTTTAAAATAAATTTCATTTAATAAAATGAAATAAATAAAAAAATAAAATTTTTAAAAATACATTTCTACCTGTTCCAGAGTGTCCATGACCTTGTGGGCACATGGAAAAGTTCCTTGCAGTAGCAGGGAAGCAGCCTTGATCCTTCCTGGCTGAACGCTGGCAAAACGCACGTGCAGAGAATGGGGATGTACGGAAGGGAAATTCTGAATTACCTGGAATATTCTAAAGAAATGCCCAGTGAAATGGGGGCACTGACTAGATTGAGAAGCTCCCCTTAAAAGTGTGTGCTTGATAAATTCTTCCTGGTGAGATTATGGGTTTTTTGGGAATAACTCTGGCTTGCTTAGAAAGCAAAAACCCTGGAGAGGGGATTGGCAGGAGCTGGTTTTGCTGTTAGCCTGGTTCAGGTTGCTAAGCTGATTAAACGAGGCTTTGGATGACGTGTGTCATGTCTCAGCAGCGGGGAATGAAGTGTTTCATGGCTTTCAGGAGCCAGGGCAGACTTAGTGACATCAGAACAACTCCAATTTCACTTGAAAGCAGCTCACCTCTGCCTCCTGCTCCTTGTTCCTGCCAGCTCTGTCCTCCAAAGCTGTTTCTGTCCGTAGGTCCTGTGCTTCAAGTTCCAGCAGGGATTGGGAATGCAGAATTAAGGGCTGCTGCGCTCTGTTTCACTGCATGGAAAGGCTTTGATGCTTCACCACTGAGAAATGGGGAAAAAAGCTCTGAGCAGGGAGTTATCCCCTTCAACAAGCCAGGAGACACTGGGGACAGGCTGTGCTTGACATCTCATTCCCTTCAATAGAGAAGGGAATTTTTCAGAGAAGAAAGTATTTTGCAGAGAAAATGAGCTGTTATTATTTTTTTGAAATTTTTTTTGAAATTTTTTTTATTCTCTTCTTAAAGCATCCTCGGATTGGACATGGCAAAAGAGATCTGATGTCATTCTCCAGCCACAAGGCAGCAGCTCAGCCTTACCCCCTCATTTGGGTGATCAAAGCACTGGAAATGTCCTCTGCAAAGTGGAAACACTTTCAAGCAGAAGGAAGGTGAAAATTCCTCACCTCTCCCCTGTGGAGCAGCCTCGTGTTTCAGGCACTGCCCTAAGGAGGGACAGCTCTGGTGTTCAGACTGCTCAAGTGAAATGAGAAATAAAGATAAATGAAATCTGGGAATAAAAGCGGGATTCAAGTCACCAAGTTTTCCCCTTTCACTGCAGAATATCTCAAATCTTCATTTTTAACTGTGCAGGAAGGAAGGAGACAAACAATAGATTAAAAATGAAAAAGCATGGTGGTGTCTTCCCCCAAAAAGAATAATTTAGATAAGGTGCTTGGCAGAAAGGCGATGTGTGACCTAATCTAGAAAGCATGTCATTATTTAGCCACAGTTATCTTCCAAATACTATTTTAAAATATGAACCTCCTGGTAAATTAGGAATAAAGACCATTGCTGAAGGTCACTTTGTGACACACTGCTGGCCTGTGGGAGAGTCACAGGATTTGCTGAAATCCATTTCTGCTAAGCAGATTTTTATACAGAATGGATTGCTTTTGCCAAACTGGACTGGGCTTCAAAATCATAACCAAATTAAAAAGAAAAATCCTGCAATTACAGGCCTACACCCATTTCTGTGTGAGCATTTTGCACATAATTAATGTGCACGTTTTATCTACTGAGAAAACAGAGTGAAACCAGCAGTTCAAATAGGCCACCAAAGCACTGTTGGCTCATTTCAGTGTTCATGTGTTGTTTGCCTGTAATAAATTCACTGAGAACGTGCCTTATTTTGTTAGTTCTTCTCCTTTAATGTGTTTACAGAGCTCTGTAGTTGGACAAAAAGATTCATAAAAGGCCAAATTGAGATATTTCTCTTTGTTTTTATTTTAAGTGAAAAAGTGGGGGTCTGTTTTTTCTGCTTGTTAATCACTGAAAATGAAAAGAGACTTTCCCTCTGATCCAGGAATGTCTCACTTGCCCTTTGTACTTGTGACAGAAAAGGCAGGTTCACAACTCACTGCTGGGCTTTGAGACCTGATTCTCTGCTTAGGCTGACTTAAGTTAGTCATTTCACAAGGATTATTCCTGATTTATCCTGCTCTTTCTGAGGGAAGAATCAAGATGGGTGATGTTTGGTTAAGCAGAGACATGTGGAGGGGGAGAAAAAAGCAGGAAAATAGGCTTAGAGAGCCAATATTCCCTTAAACACTTGTGATCAGACCTCAGTGCAGTCACCTCACCTGCCACTGCATCAAACCTCCCATCAGTCAGAACAAATCACCCGAAAATGAGATTATAACGCCCTGCTGTTTTTTTTTTAAAACACTTTTATCCAAGAAATGCAAAGCCGAAGGAATTCTTTGCTGGAAGACTCCTAATCCCCGCAGCGATCTGCATTGTGTGTATTTCCCCACAATCATTTTCATATGAGTACTGGAATGCTTCATAAAATCCCTCCATTCGCCTTTGGGGGTGTTCCAAAACTCTTCCAGAAAGTCTAAAGTTTCAGGGATTTTCTTGGGATTATTTTGACTTCAACTGGAACGTGCCTCGCTTGACTCCAGACAGAAGAGAAATAAAGTCAGCCCGCGTGGGTAAACACAGCTCTTCCCCTGGGAATTCTGTGCTGGAGGAGCCTGGGAGCGCCTGTTTGTGCACAAGAGAGGCCCCTTTGTCACTCAGGTCAGCAAATCATTATCACGACATGGAAAAATGAATAAATTTTAATGAAGCACGAGGAAACGAGTTTATAGCGCGAGGGATTTCTTTGCCTAAAGGAGCTTCGGTGGCCGGTGCTTTTCCTGCAGACAAGGATGGCCTTGTCAGAGCTGGGTTACAAAATGGAAAAAAATAAATGGGGAAGGGGGAAAGATGTGTGGGAGGAATAACACACAAGTGATCATCTCAATGCTGGTGAAGCCTAGGAGGGGGTGTGTGACACCTTGGGGACATTCCCCGCCTGCCAGCTGGGAAAGAGACTCCCATGGCAGAGGATGTGACTCCAGCATTTTTAAGCAATGTAACAAAGCCATTGTTTTACCAAAATCTGCCTTTATAAGAAGGAGAAGGCCCAATCAATGAGCAGGAAAGGGGATGGATTTTCAGGTCAAACTGACTGTTCAAGAGGAAAGGTTTTCCTGTGAGGAAGATGCATCAGCAAGGGATGGAAATATCCACCTGCTGCAGAGATCCAGAGGAGGCTCCAGGGGGATCAGAGGGATGGAGCAGCTCTGCTGGCAGGAAAGGCTGGCAGAGCTGGGATTGTTCACCTGAAGAAGCTTTGGGGTGAGCTCAGTGTGGCCTTGCAGAGCCTGAAGGAGCTGCAGGAAAGATGGAGAGAGACAATTGACAAGGGATGGAGGGGCAGGACAAGGGGGAATGGCTTCAAACTGACAGAGAACAGGTTTAGATGAGATATTGGGAAGAAATCCTCCCCTGGGAGGGCAGCTGGGGCTGCCCCTGGATCCCTGGCAGTGCCCAAGGCCAGTTTAGATGAGGCTTGGATCACCCTGGGACAGTGGGAGCTCTCCCTGCCATGGAAGGGCTGGAACCAGATGATCTTTAAGGTCCCTTCCAGCCCAAATTATTCCACAATTCTGTGATCTAAAAAGGGCTTTTATTTAGCTGCAACCTGCCAAAATATTCATATCTTTAGCCAGAAATTCTTACTAGCTCCCATTTTTAAATGAATACTCCTCAAGATGAAAGCAGATTAAATTAATTTTTTTAATTACCTTATTTCTCAAATGAAAAGTTGTAAAGCACCCTGCACAGTGAAATGGCATTTTTTCACTGTACCAGGAACTGAAACTCATAAAGTAGAAGGTAAAACTTAGTGAGTGATCAACAGAAGCAGGGAAACATCCAAGTTAACTATTGGCTCCCCAGTGCAGATGTCTGGCCCTATCTAATTCCCTAAAGACCTCTGTAAAGCTGTGTTGATTGCCTCAAGGATGAAGTGGGAAGAATCTTAAAGCCCTCCATCACAGGAATAACCAGAAGAAATTATAAAAACCTAATAAAAAGGCTTTTCAGTCAGATGTTAAGACTTGACAGTTGAAACTTTCTGGAGGAGATTAAAGATTCTCTTTAAAGTCTTGCTCCTGCAGAATTCCCTGGTCTCAAGAAAAATGGGGAAAGGATATACAGATATGAAGAAAAACATCTCCTCTTTGTTCAGCACTGGATTATGTTACAAGATAAATTTTGGCAGCCAATTCATTTTTCACCTGAATGGCTGCAGCTTTCACCTCTTATCCCAAAATATGTTTAAAAGTATTTCAGAGCTTCAGTACTGCTATCTGAGCTGTACCTACTCTTTTTTATCATAAGCTACTGAATAAGCTTCTGTCTCTCTGCCTTTGGGGGTGCTGAAGGTCACTGAAATGATATCAGTGCAATTTTGTAGTGATCTGGAAATCTGAGCCTGTGGTATTTTGCAGGTGCTCGTAGCAATTGCAGTAAGTGAGCAAATCAAGTGTTCCCTGTCCCTCAGCATTTCATGGGCATTGCAGAAGTTCTGAAGGGATTTGAGGAACCTTTGTGCTGTTCCCCTCTGGGAACAGACTCATACACACAGGAGAAAAATGGAAGCAAAGGAGAAAGATCAGAGCAGTGTCTAGTAAACTTTGCCAACCTTTCTGAGTAAATCTTTGAAGAAAGCAGAGGTACTGTGATGTGCTCCACTTACAGATCATGCACCAGGCTATGGATAACTCCACAGTTTTCTACTCAAATCAGGATGAGACTGTGTCTGCTACTAAACAAGCAAGAATTGATGATAACATATGATATAACTGGAAGTCTTTCAGCAGTAATTTCAATTAGGAGCTGAGTGACAATATACCTGAGCATGAACAAATCCTATGAAGGCTCGCTTTCTCTAAGGCTTCACGGCTCTTTCCTAATTGTAAGGCTTCTAGCACATCTACTCATCTCCATTTTCTCTGGTTTTGTTCCTGCTCTGTGCCTTTACACTGTCCCATGTGTGTTCCTCAGCTGTGCATGGAGCTCCTCAAGCTCTGCCATGGAGTCTTTAAGGTTCTTTGTTCCATTTAATGCTTTGGAAAAGCTGTGATGTCACAAAGCAGTGAACTCAAACTCAACAGGCAGTGAAGAACTGCTGCCAAGTGTCATGGTTTGATTATTTACCTCAAGAGGACTTGGAGAACCTCGGATTTTGGCATTTTGCAGATTATTTACCTAGTGGCTGATATGGGGAAGAGCTCTGATTTCATCCCAAGCCGATTGTTTCAGGCCCAGCTGAAGCTGAGCTGTGTGTTCATTCCCAGAGCCTGGTGCAGGAAGATCCATCACAAACTCACACACAGCAGAGGAGAGGCAGACATGGGGAAGAACACTTCAAAGAACAGCAGAAAATTGGATTACAGAGGACTCTTTTGGAAACATTTCCCTGACCAGTGCACCCTTGATTCCAGCCCTGTAAGGATGATGTTTTCTGGTCTGGATAATGGGCATAAACCAGGGATAACCCAGCTTGCAGTAAAGGCTGAGGGATTGGTAATTATTACCAGCAGCCAAATACAGATCTCTGTTGGCAACAGCATTCCCAGTGACATTAATGGGGATGGAGAGAGTCTCCTTTCTGGAGGGACCTTCAACTTTAGCCTCTGAACATTTCCTAGCCCTGGAATTTTTCCCAGAACAAGGCAAGTGGGGTATAGCTTGTTGCACTGTCTTGTTGGACATCCTGGTCTTCCTGAGACAAAACTCAGGATGTGAGGAAAACAAACCCAGCTAACATTTGTTTGCCTTCCTGAATCAATGGCATAAAGTCTGGCACAAGTAAGAGCTTCCTGTAGGTTATTTTGCCAAGTTTAAAATTCCCTTCCTGGTTGCAGCACGTTTCCTTTCTGAGGGCATTCCTTCCTCCCAGCCATTCTAATAATATTTACCCAGAGGAAGCAGTGTGTTTGCCACAGAGTGATCCCAAGTCATGCCTTCATAAATCCCTGGATTTCAGTGAAATTATGTTGTCGACAAAGAAAATGGTGTCTTTATTTATCACTGAGAGAAAATTGCCTACAAGCAGGAGCTGCATGAACTTGGGATGTGACCACTATGGAGAGAGTCCACGGGGCAGATTTGCCCGATTCTTTACTCCCTGTTTGTTTGTTAGCACTTCCTATCATATTATTAATTGTGTTTTCATTCTGTATCTTCTCTGGCCCCTTCTTAGTTAAAATTTATGTTGTGAAATACGTTTCTCTGAAGGATGGGGAAATGTTTTCCTGAGAGGTGTGGCAATTCTTCAGAGTGTTCTAGTGACAGTGCAGGATTTGGGTAATGGAAGGCATGCACAAGGCCTGCAGGGATTCTCAAAGATGTGGGAGGGGAGAAATGTGGAGGTCAAACTGGAATTTCTTAAGGTGCTTCCAGAGCAGTGTTGGCTGTGGCTGAAAGCTTTGCTCTTCACTCTCTCATGCTGAAAAGGGGCAGCCTCTGGAAGCAGTGAGTGGAAGATGGCAACCTGTGATGGAGCTGTGGTGAAGCTGCAGCTCTTCCGTAAGATGAGCTTTTTTAATTAACCATCACAGATAATCAAGGAGGATGATCCACACCCCCTCCAAGTGACACCGTTACCTTCCCAGATCTGAGCCCAGGCTCTGCACTGTCACCTGTCTCTTATCTTGGACTTTTGGTTTCTAAATCCCAGCTGGTCTCAGGTGAGCCAGGTTTAGTCACAGCCCAACCCCTCTCCAAGCCCTGCTGACGTCCCAGTCTGGCCTCCTACCACAGAGGCTGCCACACAAGCAAACAAAAGTAGGTCACTCAGCTGTCACAAGCATGAGAAAACAGTTCTGCCAGCATAGAAAATGTTTGCAGTTGGGGTTTTAAACTTTGTTAGATTGCTGCATACAAAGCAACAAATTAAAAATAATTTAAAAAAAAACAAACAACCCCCCCCTAAACTGGCAAGTAATGCGACCAAGAGACTTCTTGGGTTTCATTGAATATTTTAATGAGCTTTCTTAACTCTGAGAGAGGGAAAGCAAAGATATATTTCCCCAAGATCCTTAGAGAGAGCCCAGAGCATTTCCAGTGGAAAGTACCAGTCTAGGAATCACTCCCTGAGGTGCACTTAGGAAGACTTGCTTGGACTGACATCCTGGAAGTTGTCTGGGGATGAAGAGATCTGAGGTCAGAGAGGCTGATTTGGGTAAGGAAGTGTTTTGAAATTCTGCTTTTGGGAAACTATCCACAGCTGGCTAAATATGAACCTCTATTTCTGTTATCAGAAATAATTAGGATTAATAACCCTGTCTTCAGGCCATTACTTTATCTCTCACTGCTGCTTATTTCAGATGCTGGAATTTCAGTCCAGTGATTTGTCAGGCAGAGTTTATTAAACAGAAAATGGTTTATAAATGTGCTATGAAGGCAGGCCAGGAGCACAAGCACTGTGTGGGTGTGGGGATTGGATTGGCTCTCAGTTTTGCTACAGATTCATATTTCAGACTCTGAAAAGCTTTAAAGCTTCTCAAATTTGATTCAGGTCTTTATAGAGTGTGTAGAAAGGTGTCCATCTTGCTTCAAGAGAGGGAGGAGAGAAAGAAAACCTTTTTAAATTGGAATGTTTATTGAGCTCCCCTGCCCTGAGGCTCTGCAGGGCATGGGAGAGGGGCTCAACACTCTCCAGACACAGCACTGAGCTCCTCTGACCATTGAACAGGAACTGTCCCACACTCTGAGCCTCAGAGACATCCAGCACAAGCTCTGGACTGTCCTGGATGGGATGGATTTCCAAAGGCAGTCACCAGCCTGGAGCCTCAGAGGAGGAGCTGGTGACAGCACTGATGCCTGAGCTGTGCAGAGGGAGAGGAGGAGGCTTCTGGGCTTACAGAGCTCTTCACCTCCAGCTTTGTCATTTGAATCCCCTTTATGCCTTTGATAATCTGCATTTCAGAAGGCTGCATGTGAAATCTGTGATGGAATAGTGAATCTAACCTCCCTCCTGGCCTAAAATGTGTTTAGCTGCCCCCACTCCCCAGTCAGCATCTTCCTCTTCTGTCCACTGTACCTGAAAAAAATGTGTTTCTAAAGAAAATCTGTATTGTAAAACCTACAAAAGACAGTTGAGATGCCTTGCCTTGTTTTCCTGAAGTGTTAAAGCCTTAAGCTTTAGGATTTATCTGAGAGATTTAGCTACACTACAGCTACTCTTACCGTCAAAGTACTCTGCCAACACATGCATCTTTTGAGCTATTTTTGTGTAAGTGCATTAAAAGCTGCAAGGCCAGACTTTTGGAAGTTGGCAGAAGTGGGAATTAGTTCCTGAGTAACCTGAATTTGGTCTTGTTATCTTTCTTGTATTTTACCTTTCTTTATACCTTAGGTAAGTCATATGTTTCATTTGTAATAATCAAATCCATTCTGAGTTTTTCTGTTTGTTATTTCCCCTACTGAGCCCATCACAACATTTTAGCAGATACAAACCCCTCTTATATTCCTTTCCCTATTGTTGGGTACAATGGGATGGGGAAACAGGAACACAGGATGGAATAATCCCTAATTTTGGCTGCTCAGTGAGAGACCCTCAAGGGCTGTTTTTTCCCAGCAGTCTGGAGCATTTATTTGTTCCCATCTCTGAGCTCAGCTGGGGAACATCAGGCTCCTGGGGCCAGGTCAGGAGCACACAAAACCTGGCTGAAATAACTGAGCTCAGCTTGGTGGTGACAGAAGCTGATCCCAGCCTAAGTCTGTATCCAATTGCCTGAGCTCTGAGATCATCTCTTCTCTTCCAGGAAATCCTTCCTCATGCAGCATGTGGGTCCTCCTAGAAATGAAGTAGGAGCCTAAAAGTTTCTATTGTTGTGCAATGCTAATTCAGTGCAGGGCACGTCTGGGGGTTTTTAACCCAAATGAAATATTTTGGAGTAGGGAGTGAGGGGGTGTGACCATGGCAGAGTGAGAGGGAACTCGGCAGCTTTGAAGAAGGAGACCTGGCTAAGGACAGCAATTGGATTGATGCATCTTTCTGGTAGGTTTTGTTAACAGGAAGGAAGGAAAAATGTCTTTAACTCATCTCTTGTGTGTCCCTTCCAACTCAGCATATTCTGCGATCTCTGACTCGTTAATGTTGGGTTTCTTCTAGCAAGTCTTTGTTAGAAATGTCTTCCTTCTTCCTGCTCTGTTTGTGTCCTGAGGGATTTCTTTGGGAAAGGTTCACCAATGCTCAGAGATGGAGGGCTCTGGAACATTCCCTAGAACCAGAATCATCTTACCAGACAGAAAAAAGCCAAGGCCAGCACACACCAGCTCCTGCAATTCCTTATTTCCCTGCCTATGCCGTCCCCACTGCCAAACACTGGTGTGAAGGACATGGAAATGTTTCACTGAGGGCAGTGACACTTCCAGTGACACTGAGACAATTCACAGTGACTCCCAGGTGCTCAAGCCCAGAAAGTTTCTCAGAGGAGCCATTTTGCTCAGTCCCATCAGTGATTTTAAAAAGATTTTTCTTTAGAAAGGATGGAGAGAGATGTGGACAGAGAGCCAGAAGACGTGGACAAGGAAAAGAGGCAGCTCCCTTTCTATGTGAAGGATTGTGGATAAGGAAGGTCCCTATAACATTTCTCCTCTCTGCCTTCCCTGTGTCTGTTTTCTCAAGGTTTAATCTTTTTAACTAAATGTAGGGCATGGCAATGATGTGGAAATGAGCTGAGAAGGCCCTTTTTGCTTAAGATGGTTTAAAAAGACTCCTCCTAATCAGTGAGAGCTGTAGTAAAAAATCAGCTCTGCAGGTTTTCTTCAGGTATTACTAAAGTATCCTAAATATCCCTTCTTCTGCAAAGATGCCAGTAGAACAAGGGGAGTTGATGCTGCCTGAGGAAGGACTGGAGGTACTGAAGGGGTTGTGTTGGTCACTCACTTCTAGAATACTCTCAGACGTTTGAATGAGCACTCATTAAAGTGCCTGCTTTTATATGGCACACAAATTAGCTGCTTTGAGTTTTCTGGCCTTTGTTTAACCAGCAAGGGGCACTGTGAGTCATCCCAATACTCAGTCTGGCATCAAA